GCACCACAACCACCGACACCACCGACACCACCACCACCGCCACTGGCAGCACCGCCTGCACGCTGTGCATCGGCAGCTACTGACATCTGTGGCTCAATTGGCGCAGTGGCAGTGTCTGACGGACGTTTATAAAAAAAACTATGACATCATAAGATTATGCAAAAAATAAAATAAAAAGCAACTACTTGTATCTCCAGCTCATACTACAAGTATATGTCTCTGACTGAGTGTGTGTGTGGTGTTAAACTATTAAGAAGCCGGTGTCATTGTTGTTGTTATTATTATTATTGTTCCCTCGCTCAGTCAGTAAGTCAGTAAGTCAGTCAGTCATTCACTCACTCACTTGCTCTCCTCCATATGCAAAACTTGAAGGCTTGGGCGCTGAACGGGCGCTTTCGGCGTTCCGATGATTAATGCCTAATTGCTTATTTGAATGTCATAACAGTAATAAGTTATACAAAAAAAAAAAAAAGAAAACAACAACAAACAAACAACAACTTGTAAAAATCCTTCTATATGCAAATTGTGGGCCGGTCGACTCAGCAGCCAGCAGCCAATATCTGTTAAAGCATGTGTCATACCAACGATCACATTTCCCAACACATGCCTTGTCCGATGCTGACAACAATCGATGGGCTCGACTGCAGCCCATTGGTGGACAGCTCATTCAACCAGAAGCTACTATTTACTGTTGATTTGATCTAAGCATGACACTAAATTATATTCAACTTGTGCTACCTATATTAAGTGTGAAATTGCAAATGATCTTATCACTTAAGTCATCTGTTCGCAATGACTAGAAGACAGTTTGCTGAAAGGCAGTCCCTCATTTGTATGGTCTTTAAAAATAGCGAAATAAAAATAGGTGCAGATCCATTAGACCTGAAGGACCCATTCAAGTTTTAAATTCTTGTGTTAAGTTAAGAAATGAATAACTACTTTAAGTTTTGGAACCCAATCTCGTCATCTCTTGCTGCATAGCTTGCATTAGAACGATCGCTATTAGGGAAGACTTTCTTGCTTTTAACTGAAGCTTGTTGAGATATACAATATTGTACACAAATAGTGTCTCCCAGTATCTCGCAAATTCTCGGTTTTATCATCATCTTTGGCACATTGTAGAAGATGAAGCACGTTCTGAACTGAACTGATTTTTCTTGATTAGTAATAAACTTAAAGCTTTGATATATCTAATATCAGAGCATTTCCTAAATGGTGCGTAAATGCTTTGCTTCAAACCATCATCTCTAACAGCTTTTCTTGAAACTGAAATGTCTCTACAAATATATTTATTATCAATACAGGTTTAGTATAATCTCAGGGAAATTCAAGATAGAGATTTGTCTGAAAAGGCTGTAAGGCTCCTTCCTCTATTATTTACAAAGTGCATTATAAACGTAGAAACAAAAGCTGTATTTAAAAATTATCATCGCAGATAAACGTTTTTGCGAGCTGACACTTACTATGACAAGACTATGTTGCTGAGGGTAAGTAATAATCGCAAAATATATATTCAGATCTTCATCCATTTATTAATAATCAAGGCACTATCTAACTTTGTAACTATGTTTTTTTTTACATTTTTAAATATGTACTTTGTTGCTGATCTAAATACAGCTATAAATCAAATTAAAAGTCAGTTAATTAGTTTTAAATTTGTGCTCAAACTATTATGAAGAAGAAAAATAGATCAGTTGCAGATGTTTGTTACTAGAGAATATTTGGTTTTATGCCCCTTTTATGGTTAGCAGTGGAGCTGACAGTGGTCTACAAATCTTCCATGAATCCCGTTTATAGCAGAGCTAAGTTCATGTCAAGTCCAGAATTGTTGACAGTATTGACGAAATTCTGTAGCGGAGAAAGCGACATACGAATTAAATTGAACTCCTACTGCCTAGAAACTAGGAGAGTCTACATAACAAGTTTGATTAATGTGGGCTCAACCGTTTCCAAAAACCAGCCATATACATATCCAGACGAACGGACATGTCTATCTATCTACACCGAAAAAAAAGCACGGAAATTTCAATATTTACAAGTAGATTTAACTATTTTTACCATCGATTTTGCACCATCGTGTGTTTTAGTAAAAATGAAGTGTGCACACTTCAATTTAACAATTTAATATTAAAATATTAAATTTAAAGTGTGACAATATTAAATCACAGGTGATGACGTGGAGACGTGGGTTTGACATGATACATATTTTATTTCTATATAAATCTTTTTTTTTTTAAAGTTCGTTTGTTATCCATGAATTAATTTTTGTGATGTTTTTTTATGCCTCTTAGTACGGATATAGTTTGGATCAATATTAATATTATAAGTGAGAAACAGCTGATTGGATAACACTTACTTGACACCCTTTGTATTTATACCACACAACCGCTGAAAACCGACTTGAGAATTCTAGTCAATTGAAATTTAATATATTTCTAGTATATTTAAATCGACTACAAAAAAACCTCAAATTAAAGTTTAGAAAAATATTATAATTTACTATGGAATATAGTTTAACTTTAACTATTTGTTTTTTGAAGTGTGTGCACATTAATATTTAATATGGTTCAACATTAAATTGAATATGACACACTTTAATAACGAAGTTTTACAGTTTGTTTTGAATATTATTCATATTAAATTCACTAATGGAATATGTTTTTAGTAAAATTTATATTTGATTTGAATATGAAATAGATGAACATTAAATTTAATATGAAAATATTCATCCGTACTATGCAACTTTTTTATCAGTGTAGATACACACATATAGTATATACACAGTTTATGGAATCGGAGATGCTTTCTTCTGCCTTTGCACAAAACTATCCTTCGGCTACAGGTTCGAACAATAACGCTTTCTTTACAAATTTTGCTCTTGAGAGCTACTTAGTTTATTGTATTTATATATGTAGTTGTTGGTGTTGTTGTTGCTCATTTGACGTCATCAGTTGAATTGACGGTTACGATGTCCAAAACAAAACAAAATAAACAAAAATACAAAAAAAAAAATGAAAACAAAAACAAGGCAACGAATCAGAAAATCAGCGCAGTGATAAATTATGGTATTTAATCAAATAAAATATCGGTCATAAATAATGAAACGCATTATCATTTAACTAACTATTAGCAATCGTAGTGACACGGCACGAACACACATCGAAACACCTACACACACGTACACACACACACACCCACACAACAACACACACGAGTAGTTAAAAGCACGAATTATTTTTAGTGGTGCGTTAAGTGTAAAATAATGCCAACCAGAGGCTCTTTGGGGTAAGAAAAGCAACAAAAGCGCCAACACAGGTGCGATTTTGACATTCCCCCACACACTTACACACACTTATGCGATTGTGGGTGTGTATGTATGTATGTAAATGGCATATCTTGGTGACTATTATTGAAAAATGTATAAGCACATGCATATGCACATATGTACAAATGTGTGTGGAGAAGGGGTCCCTGAATTAAATAAGTGCCACAACATATTTATTTATTTTTAAAGCTGTCAAGCTATTTAGTTTTCATTTAAGCCAACTCAAATGCAATCAAGATCAGCTAATGAGTGATTTTCGTACTTTACAGATAACACAGCCTAATTCCCCATGGCCCAGATGGATTTGGCTTTACACCCAACAGTTTCCTTTACATAGTATCCTATGTTACATTTGCAATTTATTTGGACACCAATTGCGATCCAGGAGCGATGCAAGCCCCTCAGCATGACAGGTACAGTCTGTGCTTTCCATATTTTTGGAAATAGGCAGATTTTTCATGCAACAATTACCTTCAAATCATATATTTTCTATGACAATTGTACGAGTTAGCGATCTGACATAATCGGTCTGGACTAGTGATGTAAATATGTATCGAATTTACGTTATCGATTGTTTCCGATTTTAACTCGATGTTTTCAGATTTGATGTTCCGATCGATTTTTATAAAAACATCTATTTTACGGACATTCCCGCAAGCAGAGAAATCCCGGGAAGTACACAAAGCTTTTAAAGAGTGAAACCGCGTATGTACATACATATGTATATAAAAAAGTGCTAGCAAATTGTATTTCCTATTTCAATCGAAAATTAGGAACGGGAAGTAACATGTTCCTGTGTAGATTGCTTCCTAAAAAGTCTTGTAAAAAAGACATTGATCATATGCAAAATAAATCCTGCTAAATGGAATAAAGTCGTGTAACCATATATCAAATTTTTAATCCCCAAACCGTGTTAAATCAAAACCGTGTAAAAAAAGATGTGTATAAACATGTGTATGTGTGATTCCGCCATTATGAAAATAAAACTAATTCCCGATGTACCACCAGAAAAAACCAGACGCTCCTGGGAACGGCACAATCACCTCAACAAGCAAAGCTAATTGAGGCTAAAATGACTGAGCATAGCGATTATTTACAAATCCGCTTGCAGATCACAACGTTTGCCCTTTGCAGTTTTCGAATTCACTTGAAACGACTTTTCCGCATGCGCCGAAGGACTTCTTTCAGCGGCAAGATGTATTTGAAATGAACGGCGTAACCGCTTATTGCCAGAGCAGCTATCCAAATGAATATTCTTACAAATTTTTAATATCGATGAATGGAGTATTAACATATAAGAAAACTTTGTAATTATTAAACTTATCAAATATATGACATGTTTTTGAATTAAAATCGGCACCTAGTTTCTTTTTACGCCCCGTAACCAAAGGGTGTACTAGTTTAGTGCAATATGCAATGCAACAATCTTTAATTAAAACTTGTTTTAAATTAACATTTCTATTAAAAATCGATGCATGGATGTTAAGATTTTCGATACATCGCTGAATCGGTGTTTGTCTTGGCGAATTTCGCTTCCGATGTATAGCATCGATGTTCTATTCGGAATTACATCACTAGTCTGGACATATCATTAAAGGAAAGCCTCGATGCAAATGTTCATTGTGATAGCTTTAAAACTGAGTGAGAATTAATAATGAAAACAGAGACACACACACACACACATAGACAAAATTTCGATGTAAATGTGAAGACACACACCCTTTGGGTGAGTTCGAATAACCAAGATGGTATAATCGACCAAAAAAACTTTTGTTTTACAATATTGCAATTAAATTTTTTTCAAATTTAAATAATTATCTTACCCTATGGCTCCAGAGTGTTTCAAAGTTGGGACTTTTCCATTTATTTATACGCTCAGTGTTGCTTAGCATCGAAGTATAGTGCTACCAATTAATAATCTTTGTCGAACACTCTCTTATACAGAGTCGCAACGCTACCGCCTGCAGCCCTGGCATTATCCGTGTTCAACACATGCATAGGAGCTGACAAAAAAGATAACGACGTGCACAGTTCACTTTTCTCTCCGTAACCTAATCTGAAAGTTTGCTTGAACGAATTATGTCAGTGGAGTGAAAGCAGACCTAAATCCAGTTGAAAAGATTAGTTCTCTCAGCATTAGCATCAGAAATTTGTTATAACCAGATACCGAGAAGTAATTTCGCAGCAGAAACTGGAAATCAGAGGTAGAAAGCTATTATTTTGTCGAGCTGTCAGTGCTAATGCGGTAGTGTCTACAGATTTGAAGGATCGACGACATGGACTGGGGAGAGGACACTTTTGCCGACGACGAGGCCGACGAAATGGATTATGACGAATCTATCCGGAATAAGAAGAAGTATAAGTTCCATAAGGCTCCGCCTCCGCATAGCTCCTATATTGGCTATCCTGGATATAGCTTGCCCAACGCCAACATTTGTAGCATCGAGCCGACCAAAGTTGTCCGCACCTCTGCGGAAATCAAGTATATGGGATCCCTGCGTCCGGCCAAGCGTAATATATCTGGTACAGGAATCGGGGACAACGGACCCATCTCCCCATCTAAGCGCATTAAATTAAGCGCCGGCCATAAGGAGAACGCGCAGCCCATGGACATGGACTCCTTTATGAAGCCCTTCCCCGAACGTATCGCTTAAAACCAAATATAGACACAAAAATGAAGTGTCTCATCCATATTATAGACTGTTGGGTTTTAAATCCAAAAATAAAAACAAACATGCCAGGAAACATTTGATTGCATCTTGGCAATAGTATTTATAATAAAAACTTTTTAAAACATACAACATTTGATTCTGTACGAGGTACTATGTGTATTATTGTCCCATCCTTGCAATGTATGTGTGTGTGTGTTTGTATACCCTGCACCCGAAAGTTGAAAGGATATACTAGTTTTGTACGAATGTATGTAACAGGCAGACCCCACAAAGTATATATATTCTTGAACAGGATGACAAGGCATGTCGATATAGCCGGTTCCGTCCGTCAGAAAGTATAAGAGCTAGAACAACCAAACTTGGTATTCAGATTCTCCTAAGGCCGAGAAAGTACGAGTTAACGTTTTTTTTCGATGCACCCCCCACTCCCCCGCAATTCGCGTTTTTATACCCTGTACCCGCACGGGTAAAAAGGGTATATTAGGTTTGTGCAAAGTATGTAACATGCAGAAGGAAGCATCTCCGACCCCATAAAGTATATATATTCTGAATCAGCATGACGAGAGAAACGATCTAGACATGTCCGTCTGTCCGTCTGGATGAACGCAAGGATCTCAGAAATTATAAAATCTAGAATAACCAAAGTTGGCATCCAGATTTTCCTAGATCCGAGGAAGAACGAGTTTATTTTTTTTTTAATTTTCCTCCCCTTCCCCCGCTACAGAATTTCGCCAATAGCGTCCACATTTCAAATGCTACCTAAACCAAACTTTGCACACATAATTTATATATAATTGTCTACTGTTGTTCAACATTTTATTCAATTCGGTCAATTCTAAGAAAAGTTATTAGCGAAACAAATTCTCGCCAGTACAACCTGCACCCACAAACTGCAGCAACAAGTTCGCTCTTCTTCTTCCTCTTTTTGCTGCTGCTTTGGGCGCATATAACTCAGTGACGGAAGTTTACCTGGGTACAGGGCATTACACTGTCGGGCTTGCTCCACTGTAGCGTTCTCTAGGCCATACAAAGGGTACGTGATGTGGGTCCTCAATAATTCTAGCTAGATCAAGCTCTGAATGGTTTCTGATTTCGATTTCGATTGGTTCCATCTTTCTAAAATTAAAAAAAAGTAATCAGATTAAAATACTCGATTCAATGCAGATTTGCGTGATATGAAAAAAAATATTCACAACAAAATTAATGCAAATCAATCAAGATTTTTAACATCAAATATAACAATTTGTTCAAAACGAAATAAATGCATACAAATATTGAAATAGCTATTAATATTTCTTCTATAAGACAACAACTTTACAGCGGTTTTAAAAATACTTTGGAAAACGAATATGAGCTTAAAAAATGCGGGCCTTGCTTCAGAGTTAAAAGTAATTAATTAAATTAAATCTGTCGGCACATCAAGTTGTCTATAAAATGCTAAAATGCCTATTGAATTAACCAAAGTGTTTAGCCAATTGATTGATTTGTCTGCGAACCAACCTAATCGGCTTTATTTTTATTTACAAAAAGGCTGTTTCTATTGTGTTTCAAGAGATTCGAAAGAGATATTAGGTTCCATCGCCAAAATATTGATTGAAAGCAATTAACAATAGCTTTAATACTGGCTGATGTAACAGGGCTTGGCGGCGCAAAGCGGACTTTTGTCCAGCAATGGAAAGGTTTGTAATTGCTTCAAAATTATTCCTTTGTTCGCCATTTTAAGAAGGGATCACATTTTTCATTTAGAAATAAGATAATACACTCACGAGTTAAATAAAAAACGTTGAAATATTGTAATTGATGCTTAAACCTCTGATAAAATCCGATTTTCTTTTGGTTTTTGTTTATGATTTTACTATGGATATCTATGTATATTACATAGTTAGATCGCGGACTGTCGCGATCTATTCTTTATAGAGATGTAGTCTGTTCAAAAGTGAGATAGAACTGCAAGGCATCTAGGGCAACACTTTGTCCCTAGCGTAGACAGGTGCTATTATTTATATAAGAAACTATAGGGCAAACAATTTTGCAGCGTCATCGGAAATCTCCCTTCTTCCTATTTATGTATATACTATTTGTAATATTGGACAGCAACAATATACACAACAAGTACGAGCATAGTATGTTTCTAGGAATGTTGGCAGCTCTTACGAACGCTTCGAGCAGGCAGGAACCTTAAGATAGCAGTCTGCGACACATTCGTCTATATTTTGATTGCAATTAGACAATTAGGCAGTGCGACAAATGTTTCTCAAGTTAAATTGCGCATACGCAGTGTGTGCCGCTTGATTAATGTGTCTGCTGTGCGCGAAGACAATTTCATGGTCGCCTTATGGGCCAACTGCGCTCAGCAACTGTCTAAGCATTAGAAGATCCACCTACATGCATACCTATGTATGTATATTTTCATATATATTTAGACTATGAATGTGTGTTGAACGTTTGTCATCGACGATTTGGTTGCAGCCCGCGGCCATCTGAAGCGATGCCACATTTAATCGGGCAATGGGACGTGGCAGGAGGTGGTGCAAGGCCTGGAGGTTCTGACAATAATTTGTATGCATGCCGTCAATCATTGGCTTGTATCAGTCATCCAATCAATGCGCACACTGCCAGCAAATGTTGACATTAAGGTGCAGCATTTCGAGTGCCACTGCTAGTGGCTAAGGTCAGAAAGACAGCAGCACAATGCAACATCGGTCGGTTGTGCCACCATTGCGTATGAGTAATGCACAAAGCCACTGCTCATTGTGTCACAGCCACCACATAAGCTGATAACTAAATGCAGCAACATATCATGACCAGCAATTGCCTGACAAACGGAAACCTTCGATTACGAGGCATGTTCTTAAATTTCATGAGATAGTAAGTAACCGTCTATATAGAGGTCTAAGCGATTGGTGTTTCAAGGCAGTCCAACTGGTATAAAAGGGCTCTTGCACTCAGCCAGAAACTCACCAGTAACACAAATTTGAGAGACAATGCTAACTTCTATTCCCGATATTTTGATAAGCAAAAGATAAAATAAACCACGAGTATTTCATGTTAAACGGATTAAAGACAACAAATTGTCTTTAAAAGAATTTAAAGATCACATTTCACCGTTTTATCCGTTGTTCATTCCAGTAAAAATTTAAAATAAATAACTTTTTCGTATTCCTAATTTTCAGATTCAAGGAAAACTTGAGTCCGAATTTCAATTTTCTAGCTTAAGTGGTTACAGTCCTTAATTGATTACTATTCAGTCAGTGAGAACTGGATGTTTTATATAATCATAATTATTTTAACTCGGCAAATATATTTAATCTACAAGTATTTCTGTTTTTAGTGTCGACTTTTTGTAGATTTGTAGATATTCCTAAACATACACGTAGTGTAAAAAATCACAAAGCATGGAGGCCAGATTTTAACCAAGTTGAATAAGAATTTATATATAAATGCTCAATAGAGCAGAAACAAAACAATTACAAATCAAACGGTTAATGTTTGCGTTTCGCAACGAAAAGAAAACCAGAAAGACAAATGATTTTTATAAATAATAATAGGGACCATCAACTAGTCGAAAGCACTTCAAAATATCAAAACAGATCTAGGCTTAGCTACTTTATGAATGGCCCTCGTTGCATCTCCTTGTGTCTGTTTAGAGCACCGCATATAAGTGGGTCACAAATTATGGATTTGAATGTATGGCAAAACTCCCGCTTTGTTGCTATTTTTCGACGCCCACACAAAAATATCGACAATGTTAATTAGTAGCAAAATTTGCAGCACTCTCACAAACATACATACGTATATAAACACACCCCAGCGATCATTAAGTGCGCTTAAAATATTAACTGATATTCAAATTGAGTGGCCGCCGGTCGTGCAAATGCAAAAGCTCAAGCACTTGTCGTTGCCCAAAGCCGTTGAAATTTGGAGGCTGCTGTTGTTGTTGTTGTTGTTGTTGCTGCTGTTTCTGTCTCTGATGCTGCTGCTGCTGCTGCTGCTGTTGATGGCGCTGACGCATGAAACTCAATACAATATGATTTAAAGTCTTGAAACACATTAATATTGCAAATGAGTAATCGGCTATCAATCAAAAGCTGCTTCTAAGCAATAGCAGTGAGTCTTCGTCTCGCTAGAAAAACAAATAAATATATTTACATAACGGCATTAGTACATACCATAACATTACTCATGCAACGTGCGATTAGTGTGTATTTAATATTTGTTTTAGCTTTTGGGTATTCATTCTAATACTTGTCCTATACAATATTTGCGTTCGGCAATGCCGCTCATTTTTAAACTTAGAATACCATTTGCATGAGACGATCTGGCAGCGCCACACAATTGGCAGCACTAGCTTTGCAGGGCTGATGATGCCCATGGCGATGCCACTTATCGATAGCTGCAATGAAATGACACTTGTTATCACTTGTAGCGAGTCGTGCCCAACACTTTGCAGTTGTTGTAGATTTGGCGCGTCGCCATTTGCAAATTGAATTAATTAATTTAAGTAAAATGTAAACGCTCAGCAAATAAAGGTAACATAACTACCAACATGGCCAGTTACTCGCCGCGTAAGAAACTGCCGGCGCCTGCAGACTTCGGCTTTCCTTACACGCCCTACGACATCCAACAGGATCTGATGCAACAGCTATTCCTGGTGCTGGAACGCAAGCAGATTGGCATTTTCGAAAGTCCCACTGGCACGGGTAAGTCGCTGACACTAACCTGTGGAGCACTCACTTGGCTGCAACAGCACGAGCAGCTTGTGCGTGAAGAGTTACTGGAGCGCATCGAACTGGTGGAGCGTGAGCTGCGCACACTGCAGGCGGCTAGTGCGCAGGCGAATGATTGGATAGCGGCGCAGGGCGCGACGCAGGTGCAGCGCCAAGAGCTTCAGCAGTTGCAAAGGCTGCGGACACTGCTGCAGCAAAGGGAGCGCGAGCTAGAAGAGATCAGACAGCGCAAGGCGACACAAAAGCAACAGTTTAGGCCAGCACGCAAGGCCCAGGATCATTATGAATCAGTAGACCTGCCTGTCGATGCGATGCCCGCCTCAGACGATGACGAGGAGGCGGAAGTGGCCGAAGAAGAGCAGCCGGCAAAGGACCAAGAGGAGCGCTACCGCGACGTACAAATATTCTACTGCAGCCGCACTCACTCACAGCTGGCGCAGATTGTGGCCGAGCTGCGGAAGACACCGCATGGCCGGCACGTGCGCTGCGTTACGCTTGGTTCACGACAGCAGCTATGCATCAATGACCAGGTGCGTCGCCTGTCGAGTGTGGCTTTGATGAACGAGCGTTGCCTTGACATGGCCAGGATAAAGCAAACGGCCAATCCTAGCAAGAAACCCCGTCTGAGCAGTTCTACAGCATCGTCACTTGGTCGTTGCAACCTTAAGGCGCCAGCATTGCTACAAACTCTGAGCGATGTGGCTCTGTGTGAGCCTCTGGATATAGAGGAGTTGGCCGCCCAAGGAGCTGCCTGTGGCGCATGTCCCTACTACGCTGCACGCTCCGCCCAGACCCACGCACAGCTTGTCCTGCTGCCATATCCCCTGCTGTTACAGCGCAGCGCACGCCAACAAAACAGCATCGATCTGCACGGCGCCATCATCATTGTGGACGAGGCCCACAATCTGCTGGACACCATAGCGCAGCTGCACAGCGCAGAGTTAACACTGGAACAGCTACAGCTAGCTCGCGACCAAATTTTGGCCTACAAACAGCGGTATGCGCGTCGTCTCAGCACCTCCAACATGCTCTGCATCAACCAGCTACTTTATGTGGTCAAGCGGCTGCTCAAGCTGCTAGAGATCAAGACTGAAGATGAGCCGCGAATGCTTCGCACCTACGACCTGGCCTCCGAAGGCGACTTCTACAACATAGATTTGTACGCGCTGCTGAGATTCTGCACTCGCACCCGTTTCGCCCAGAAACTGCATGGATTCGGTCTGCAGCAGCAACGCGAGCCACGCCCCAGCGAGAATCGCCCACCGTCCACGTTGCAGCTGCTCCACCGGCTAGCCACACAGCACCAGCAGCAGAGCTTGAGTGGTAAACTCAAACTGAACAAGCAAGAGCAGGACGAGGATCAGGAGCAGGAACAAACACCACCAATCCGACCTACTTCCACACCGTCTGCCCCTACGCCCTCACCCATTCGTCCTTTACTGGCTTTTCTGGAGACGCTCACCAGCGATGCAGCGGACGGTCGTGTGCTGCTTAATCCCCGGAACGGCAATATGAAATATTTACTGCTCAATCCCGCCGAGCATTTTGAGGATATTGTGCGCGAGGCGCGTGCGGTAAGAAAATTAGTCTACTATACTTAATAGGGACCAATATTATAAACTGAAAAGTGAAGATACATACAAGTATATGACTTGGCGAAGTTTCCGTATTTTCGAATTCACTGAAATACAAGTAAAATTGAAATGAACGAGATTTCTATAAGAGCTCCTTTTCAATCCCTTCTAACCAAACATTTAATCGAATGGAGAAAAATAGGCTTTAAATTAAATAATTGTAGGTAGTTTTGCATTTGAAAAGTCCAATATCTTGTGTGTATTGTGGCGACAATTTACATTTATAAACATGTTAAACTATATTTCTTCAAATATATTCATTCCAATAATAAACAATGGCAGAAATTAATTTAAAAATCTGCTAATAATCTGTTTTTGAATAGAAAGGATCTTTCGTAAGAACTAATAAACTGATTCTTTTGATGATAATATATGATTTTGAAATTACATAGAAAAAGATTAACTACATACATCGTATAGCTATCATATAGAAATCATCTCTTCCCAAATAAATCTTTGCAATTATTATAATATTTGTATATTATTGGAGTAAATGGTGATTCTGTATACACAATATAAAGCTTACAAATACCTCCTGACTAAATTTGGTATACCAGTCAAAGCTATATTTATATTTTCTGCATTTCCAAACCATCTTCAGGCAGCCGATTCATTGCTCTATCATGTTAGTTAGGACATTCAAACAGTTATGTACATTTATATTTTTATGATCGATACAATTAGCAAATGAGGGTGAATTGAGAATTCTTGGTAATCCTCTTTTTATTTATTGCAGCTAATAATTGCCGGAGGCACTATGCAGCCCACCCAGGAATTGACGACTCAACTCTTTGGCAACTATCCGGAACGTGTGGTGCAGCATTTCTATAGCCATGTGGTACCCGACGATGCCGTGCTTCCTTTTGTGGTCACCACAGGACCCACCGGAGCCCCATTGTGCTTTAACTACACGCAACGAGCCAGCTTGGCCATGGTAAGAAATACCTGAAAATTGTTGGTTGGTAGCTCAATAAATTCTTCACTTTCTTCTTCTTCACTTCTAGCTGAATGAACTGGCTATGGTGCTGCAGAATCTGTGTGGCGTACTGCCCGCTGGTTTGGTGTGTTTTCTGCCCTCCTACGACTATTTGGAAACGGTGTACGTGCACCTAGAGAAGTGCGGCGCTTTGGAACGCATTGGACAGCGCAAACGCGTCTTCCGGGAGACGGCTGGTGGAGGTGGAGTGGAGCAGCTTCTGCAGCAATACGCTGAGGCTATAAAGCAATCGTCAAAGGGAAATGGAGCACTGTTGCTAAGCGTTGTCGGCGGCAAGTTGTCAGAGGGTTTGAATTTTGCTGACGATCTCGGACGCGGCGTTATTGTTGTCGGCCTGCCTTATCCAAATCGGCAGTCACCTGAGCTGCAGGAACGCATGCGTCATCTAGACAGCAACTTGGGCACGGGCGCCGGCAACGAATATTACGAGAATCTCTGCATGAAGGCAGTCAATCAGTGCATTGGCCGATCTGTGCGTCACATACGCGACTTTGCCTGCGTTTATCTGTTGGACGAGCGCTACGGCAATGCGCGCATCCAGCAAAAGCTGCCCGCCTGGATTTCACGCCACATTGTGGAGGCTACAGCGACGACTGGTGGTTTTGGCGGCGTGCAAGCTCGCACTGCGCGTTTCTTTAAGTTAGCGAGGAACTGATTAATTGTAAAAATCATTTATACTTACTATATAGACATGTGTACGTTCATGTAATTGTTCCTTGTGATGTCCTTCTTCTTGTTCTTCTTTCCAGTGCCTTTAACAGTATTTTTAAAATTAGTATAATAGAATACTCATTTTTATAGTTTAAGAAACACTTTCCTTTACACATTTGATTAAATACCCAAAATAGAAGGCCCACAGCGGCAAAAAAAAAATTTTTTTTATTAGTTTATAATTTTCGGGCGGATACAGATATTTTGATTTTGGATATCACATTAAATGTGCCCATGCCGGGGACTTTTCATTTGAGCTCAACGTTTCCATCTTACACCGATAAGTTGATAGTTGCAGGTCGACTCAAAAGTGGCAACGCTCTTGCTATTATAAATCGTGCTATGTATCGGCCTATCGATATATTTAATATACCGATAAGTTATCAACCCTATTGAGCATTCTTCATTGTGCGGTCGTTTTGTGTGTGTGTACGTCGTCTCGTCCCCGTCGGATCGCGTCGTCGTCGCCTGAGACACGGAGAGTTTGGTTTAAACTTTGTAAATGAAATTAAACATAAATCAGTGCATGTTTTAAATGAGAAGCTGTTAAAGTACTTGACAGAAACATCATACAATATTAGTACAGGTTAGTCTGCAAATGTTTGCGTCGTACTTTAAAAAATAAATTCGTGTGTATGCGTTTGTTTGTGCGCTGTCTACACGAAAGTTGTTTGCATTTTTACGCGTGCATGCATGTGTGCGTGTGTATGACTGTGTGTATGGGGCTATCAGTATGTGTGCATTGGTTTATGTTTGAAAACTGTATTTTGATTGTTATAAATAGCTCCGTTCCCCCTAAATGAAAACTGAATGGATGTCATGCCGCTTTTTCCGTGGCTGCTTCGTACATTCATCGGTTGTTGCAGGCCGAGTTCAATTCCAGCTTATTCATTCAATTTTAAAATGAAACCGAAACTGAAAAATATTGAATTCGAGTTTTTATTTATTTTTTTTATGCATATGTTTGTATGTGTGTGTTTGCTGTGATAAGGAGAGCAGCCGATTTGTCGGTTGATATCTTACTTACTATTTCTTGTTATTCAAACAACGTGCCGCTGTTGTTGCAACAGCAACAACAACCAACTGCAGCAATAATAATTTGAAAAAAAAACCATAAGTTCGCCGCCATTGAACAAATATTTATTAATACTAATAATATTGGGCCGAACGATGATAAAAACTGCTGACGCCAGCTTAAAGAATTTTGTCGTTGTCGTGCCCAGAACGACTCGTCCAATTACATGCATACATGATTGAGGTTGGTGTTGCGAAGGGGGAGGAGTGGAGGGGAGACTGGTGATAGCCAAAAGTGCCGGTACTTGAGTTGTTAGCTGACGCTTTACAGGCTTGAAGCTTTTTAGTAGTCAGCGAAACTAGTAAAGCTGTTATTTTTGTTAGTTGTTGCAGTCTTTGATATTGTTGTTGTTGTTGCTGAGGAAAAACTTGTTCCAGCGAAGTTTCATTCTTGCCCCTGTTGTTGTTGCTGATAAACGCTGACTTTGATAAAAGTAGCACACAAAAATGTTAAAATGAAAACTCAGCTGAAAACACAGTAGACTTTATTCAGTCCCATCCGAACTAGTTCCTATAATAAATTATTTCGATCATCGAACAAAATGGTTTGGCTGACGAAATTTGCAAGTGAAGAGTATTTTAGAAGCAAGAAGGATCCGACAGTTGTGTGACACTTCCACAAGATGGTGTACTTAAGCTCTTTCTCTTTTTCACAAATACAAATACTTGAATATGTTAATACATGTTCATATAAATCTATCCCTTTAATATATTGACTGACACACCCACCCATGATTTTTGACCTCTTAACATATAAAAAAACGGTCCATGTAAATATGTACCTTTAATTAAAAATATTCTTATTGAATAATAATGAACTAAACAATGTACAAAAATGAAGGAAAACGACCGAACAGACAAATGAATTGAGAGATGTGTACGTTCGTTTCTCGGAAAAGGAGCTTCGAAACTAGTTAGTTGTCTTTGTCGGGAATATGCAACTGACTGATTTAATAATATTTCAGAGTGAACAATTTGTTAGAGCGAGTAAAAAAACTGTATTGTATAAATGTTCTTGTTCTCTATTCCTTAAAATATTAACAGAGCTAAGCTAGCTGCACAAGTGGCCAAAACATTAGGAACAGCTCACATTTATGTACATACATATTTATATACTTTACAAAGAGCATACTAAAAAATCCACCAAACCATTTTCCTTTGCAGCTCCTTATAATGACCATGCTTAGACAAACTGCACTGTCAGCCAGAGCGTAACAAAATGTCTGCTTGTAACCGCCGCAGCCACATCAGAAGCAAAAACAGCAGCAGTTATAGTCAGTGAGAACGCTAGGACGATAACGCCGGCAGCACAGCAACTAACTTACTCCCGACCCGAGAAAACTCGAGCTCAGAGCCCGGTATCGGTATCGCTATCGTTTTCATTCTGGTTCTCAGACATGGTACAAAGAAACAAGAAGGTATAGCATTTGGTGTTCTCCTGTGACGTCACAATATGACAGTGTAATTTGTCGCGTAATTTGGTTTTTAAAATGTGGCTAGACTGCGTTGAATAATATAACTATTTGGTGGAGATAATCCATTAAATGTCAGCCGTCATTTTTAATTTTTAATGTTTTTTTACATAATATCAACACCGTATGGTGAGCATAATTTTATAAAAGAGAGCACAAAAAATAGATTACAGTCGCAACGTGAGGGACAGAGCCCGTAAATTTAACCCGAGCTCTCTCGTTTGTGGCCTACGTGAGCATATTATGACGTACCTGCGCAACGAGAATAAACAAAATGCAGCCTATAATGCCATACCTTCTCTCTTTCTACTATTGTTCTCAGATTCAAAATCGAACTCTCGCATTCGTTGGCGCTCATTCGCAGACGTACGGCAGCAGCGGTAACAACGCGCATCGCAAGCAGCAGCAGCAGCAACGACAACAACAGTAGCGCAGAACACGCAACTTGCGAAACGAAACGACGGTAAATGAAACAACGCCCCGTGTGTGTGTGCGTCGGCAAAAGGAATAAAACAAGGCAACAAAAATCAAGAGAAAAACCCATAAACAATATACAAACGCGCGCTGTGCTCTTCAATCGCATATAAAAAGCAACATGAAATCAGTGCATATTTTATTTGTGCATTTCATATAATAAAAATTGATAATACATGGTTGGCCCGTTCGACGCTACTGCAGTAGATGATAAGCAGCGCGCTTTATCAAATTGGTGCGGTTTTTTTTTCACGTTTTCTGATTTTTTCTCTCCATTGCAACCACATCCTTTTGCGAGTGCAAAGTGGTGGATTTAAACAAATTAGTAACAGTTACATATATGTATATACATAGTATATACATATATGTATATAATTTACATAGTACATGAGTGTTTGTGTGTGTACATTTTTGTTGTTGTTTTTTTTTTAATTTTTTGGGTGTGTGAAAAGTGAAAGTGAAAATTTAGCGCAGGCACGGCACACGCACACAAAGAAACGTACACAGGACCAGCAGGCAACAAACGCAGGACACTCATAGAGAGAGAAAGAGAGAGTTAGAGCGAGCGTGCCAGGAGCATGCGTTGCTGCAACGATTTGGCATTTGGTACAGCGTGTGAAGCGCACGCATTAACACCCCCTCAAACGCACATTAGCAGCGACGCCCGCTCCTCTGCTCCTACTTCTGCAATGTACATGTAGATTTAATATGTGCGTGCGTGTGTGCCATGTGCTTCCTTAGTATATATGTACATGCATTTGTATGTATATATGCATATTCAAATCTAAAACAAAATATTTTTTGCTTGCAGCCGTGTGTGTGTAATATGCTAAACTTTTAAGTCAATTTAAAAACAAAGGAAAAGAAAAGCAACGCCGACATCAGCTTAGCGTCAACGTCATTGCAGAGGGCAGCAGAGCAAAGCTAAACTGTGACGTCAAATAGTTGTAAGCAGCAACGTCGCTACATACACACACACTCACATACCGTAACAATAAAAGGCAACCCCCATTCTCCCACACACACACACACACACACGACAAAACTCCCAAAACAACTACAATAAAAGTAGAAACATTTTGAAAGAAGGGGAGAGAGAGAGCACAGAGAGCGTAACCGTGCGCGCGTGTGTGTGTGCGTGCGTTTATGTTGCCAACAGGAGCAGCAGCGGCAGAGGCAGCAGCAGCAGATTTAGGAGTAGAAACAGCAACAACAAAAACAATAACATCATCAGCAGCATCAGCGACGTAGGAGCAGCATAAAAATGGAACAGCCGAGCATACTCGTTAAAATCCTGCATTCGATACCGCATGTGAATTACACATTTCGTCGGGTTAATGACACCTTCAATCTGGATAGTGATGTTTACTTAGAGGTGAGTACACACCAGCGCACATTAAAGGGTTAACACATACATCTACATATGCACATTTAGTATAACCGCTACATGAACGTCGCGTCAGCGGCTTAGGCTTCTCACTATTTGGGTTAAGTTGTTGGCTTCAGTTCAGTTGGTTTGCGCCATTTATGGGCCATTTGCACAGTGTGTGGTTACGGGATCTGTCGCATATGCCACAAATCTAAAATCTATCAAAACATACATGTATCTATAGTAAGTTGTCTAAGTAGTTCCTCCAAATTCAAAATTTACAATACATTTTAACGGCTTAGATTCAATTACGCAACATTTGACAAATGTTAAAAAAATTTATGACGGAATTGTAAGATTCCTTTCTAAAAAAAATCACTCTCCACAAAGTATGCTACAGTTTTTGATTTCTGGAAAAAGTGATTCTAACAAAAAAAACGACCTTAATAGTTAATCTATTGCGAGAATTAAACGAACTGGGTCTTCTAATAACCATGGACCATCATTAACACTTCCGAACACACTAATGCAGTTGGTATTTTCCAGTTAACTGAAATTACGTCAAGCATGGTAAAAATGAATTCATAATAAAAGACCATAATTTCTTCGTATTGTATTGGCGTTGTAAATCGCCGTAAATATCATGACGTAATCATTTATATATAAACTTTTGATAAAGAGTTTTTGTTGTTTACAAAAGCTTAGGAACTGTAGGGGGAATTCGGCGCCTCGTTCCTATGCTTATGAGAGAAGTGAAGAATACAAAAATAAAATATATGGTATTTCATTGAACGGAAATTGCATATGGCTCTAAAATAAATAATTGAATATTCAGTCAGACAAATACAAATAATATTGTCGACATACCATTCACCGAATATTTCAGTTCAGCCCCTTATGGTAGTTGCCATAAAAACCCGTACATGTTCAGCTTAGTTTCGTTTTTATTATAACACAACATTAATAGGACTTTAATCAAACTAATCTGCGCACTCAATAGCCTGACCCAGGCATTTTTTTTTTACATATGTAAGTAGATACACGTACATATGGCTAGGAGTACCAATTTGGAGTGCCTTCCCTTTACTGAAATGTTTAATGATCACCATTACAAAAAACATATACATGTATATTTTTCATTTGGAATAATTTTTCTGTTAAATATCCATTCTTGGGCCTTAATCTTTTCATTTGGCAAGGTTTCTAAATGCTTCAGAATTGATCAGTTAGGGGTCTGGTAGATGTGCGAGTATGTATTGTATGTACACCAAAATGGTTGCCAATGTCGAGTACAATTTCCGCTCGCAGCGTCCTCAAGTGTGTGACAATTCTTCCCACTATGCGACAATATATTTTGGACAATGCAGCATTGCGCTTTTGGCCATGGTAATGATTAGTCGCGCCTTGTATGGGGCATGTTAAGCCTCTTGGCCAATTCATAGCGCCGGACGTACAATTTGTCTGCTTGCCTGTCTGTTTGACTTATTTTTTTTTTGTACTCCTGCCTTCCAAGCCCTGTGCTCTTTTGTGCTCTCTCATTTACCATCACACCTACCTGCCTTCTGGCCATCGTCGTCTTCCTTTTCTCTCACTCGTCAGCACTTGTTCTTATTGTTGGAGTAGCGATTGCCGCCGCCGTTTCATATGCTGCATATACTGGTACATACACGTACATTCGTATGCATGTATGTAGTGGTGTATCCATGTGCGTGTTTCTAGGACGCTTTCGTTGCATTTGAAATAAAAAGAGTGTGCATGGCTGAGGCTCGATGTAAACCATGTTGACATCGTTTTAATATTCATTTAGCGATAGCTAACATTTCATATTTATACCTATGATTGAAGAGTATTTTCTCGTGTAAATATTTACATCCGCAAAAAGATTTAAACGTAACAATGTTAGCTTAGCAACGTTACAACATAACAGCGCTGTGGCTCAAAAAATTTGCTTAACATCAACAAAAGCAATAAAACAAAATGTTATAAATTTAATTTTCATGTTGGTTTTGTTGTCTGCTTTGCCTCCTGACGGACTGGTCTGGCCTGGCGAGCCCTTTTTGCTTATGTATGTTCCATTGCCATTTCATTCCGCCACCATGTGCGCTACATGTGCTGGCTAGCTGGCTGACTGTTATTCCATATTTCACCCGCTTATTGTTGCTGTTGCTGCGATTGGTTGGGGGCGTTCGCAGGAGCAGAGGCCAGCAGTAACGGCAGCTGCGTTCCCTCTTCGTTGAGCATACGCTGCACACTTCCGGTATTCTTCTTCTTCCCTTTTTTGTTTGGTTTCTTTTGATTGCCGCACATCGTCAGCAAAGTCGATGTCTCTTATTATTAAACCAAACCGTCAGCGCCGCACTATTCGACTATCCAGCTAACCATCTAACCGACCAAACGACCGACCGAGCAACCCAACCACTCACCTCATTCTCAACGGCATTTCCATTATGCTGCCAAACAACATCGACGTCATTCAGCGGCAGCAGCAGCGGTGGCGGCACTGGCAGTGGCAGCAGCTGCTTTGACTGCGTTGCGTTGCTTTTGTTCTTCTTTATCTGTTACCTCGCATCTTTGGCTCTTATATATACGTATGAATGTATATAAATATTCCTGTACGCATCGGTCTGATAACAGACACAAACGCTGCTTTCTCTTCTATATACACGTACATACTACATAAATACTATCTATGTACTTCTTCTTTTGCTGCGTCAATTTGCCACGCTAAGTGCTCTGCCGGCTGCGCAGCCTGCCTCGCTGCTTTGTGCAAGACCATACAGGAATTGAACCACGCCGACGACCAGAGACCGACTACTGACTACTAACACCAACAACAAGAATAAGAACAACTACAGCAACGTCGACGTCAACATCAGTTACAAAGTCCAACTACGTAACTGAGGACGACCGACGACCGACGCCCAAAATGGCCAAAAAGCGGCACACGTGCTCGCTGTTTTTGTTGTTATTATGTGCAGCAACAGCAGCAGCGAACATTAGGTCAGGAGGTCAGCGGACGAGCGAGCGGGCGGGTGGACAGTCCGGCGAACTAGCTGCCTAACTGATTCGAACTCTCAAAATGCATAACATAAGCATAAAACAAATAACAACATACGGTTGCGTTTACATAGACACAGACACACACACACACACATACACATACACACATGTGTGTGCGTGGCGGTTTTTCCGAGCGAAATCCCAGCAGGAAAATTTGATTAAAATTAGCAGCAGCAAAAGTAGCGGCAGCAGCAGCAGCCGGCATTCCCAGTGACGACGACAACGATGATGACGACCACGTTGTGGCTTCCAACGCCTGTCCCGCCGCTCACCATTGCCATCCAAATGAAAATTCAGGTCAGATGAGCGCTCTCGGTCTGTCGAGCCATTCGGTTGGTCGGTCGTCGGTCGTCCGTCGTTTGGTCGACGCTCCTCGGCTCGGCTTGACTTGGCTTTAGTTTTTTATTGGATGTAGGTCAGCTGGTGAACTGCACGGCTGGGCGTAGTTTTTACGCGCGTCAGCAAAAGCATCGTGGCGCCGTCGCAGCCCCTGTCAGGCAGACGACTAGGCGCGGGCGGGTGATGGTGGTGGTGGCAGGCAGGTGAGCTAATGAGGAAACATTTAGCGTACCAGGATGAGGGGTGGGGGGGCCGTGGAGAAGCGCAAATTATGCGCCTAATGCACTTGAAGCCAAATCCGACCTAGCATGGGCAGTCGGTGGTGCACTGTTTGGTGGTGTAACCATTTTGAAAACCGGCAATTGACAGCTGAGTGAGCACCTTAAAAAAAACTCTGCAAGTTTTACGTCACAAACGCATACATCCCGCATTCCACATCCTCCTTCCATATGCATTAATGCAGTTGCTCCATATACTTAAAGAAACGAAGGATAATGCTGACGTTGCTTAAATGCATAGTCTTGGGTGGTAATAAGATTCTATGATAGGCGCCCAAAGTGCAATTTCAATTGAAGGCAGTGCCTAACTAGTTGAAGAAAATAAAAACATTGAAACATACATAAGTTGTAGGCAACTAATTACGTTAAAAAAAGCACTGCTTCATTTGTGACATTATCAATTCTAATAAGTAGTAGTTAATAACTATCCACTTTAAACCACACTTCAAAAGTAATTTTGAAAATTCTCTGGTAATACTTCACTTTTTTAATACTTTTCCAAATTCGATCAAATTCGTGAACATCCATTTGCCAAAGAGCCAAATTTTCACTAATTGAGTGCATAAATCGCAATGAATTCCTGTTTCCTATGTACAATGGCACTGAATTTAATTCGAGTCAGTATCTCAATTTTCCCAAATCGGTAAACGAAATAAAAACGATTTCGATGAAAAAGAGTAAATCACAAAGAGTTCAAAATAATTAAATGAAACTGGAACATAAAACTCAACAATTATTTTAAATAAAGAAAAAATAATGGACATCACAAACAAAGAAGTTAAATCGTGAATAGAGTTGCGAATCTTCAATTTTATATCGAAACTCAGAAGGCGCATGCTGATATAACTTATGTTATAAGCCATGTTTTCTAAATTAGTTCAGCTAATAAATAAACGATTTTACTGTACAAGTGGGGGATATATAAGAATTGAAACATTTGTTGTTTTATATTTCCGATTCTGGTGTGTGGGTAGGTCTCATAATGTCGTTAAATTTGCTATTTTTTCGCATTCCATTTAAATTTAATCGTTTCTATAATATGTACATATCTTGTAATCTGCTTGGCAAAGCCGATTTAAAGAGGAACTCTCTAAAAATTTGATTATGTACTTGTAAGTTGAATTCGACATAGGGAAATACTCATGAATCATTGCTAGTTTTTGATAGCTTAGTAAGGGGACAAAAAGTTGTGAGTAATATATAGATGTGCCTCGCTGGGTTCAAAACTGCAACGACAACTACTGTAGAGGATGAGAGGCTGTTGATGGTGATGGTGATGTTGACGGATGCTGCTTACAAAGCACACACACACACTGTTGATATGTTTAA